ATATATATATATATATATATATATATATATATATATATATATATATATATATATATATATACTCCAGTTCTTTGACACTTTCACCCGTTTCCTATAAGTGCTTGTTTTCTTTGCTTCTTATTCCATGCCGAAACAACTTTCCTCTTCAGTCCCTGTGATGCCTACTCCAGTCAAGCAGTCTGTAATCAATCTGCTACAAACTATTAGTGTACAGAAGAAAAAAATCAAAACAATAATAAAGCAAGTTAAAATTTTGCAGTCATCAAAAAAGTGCTAGTTCAGCCCCAGAAAACATGGTGGTAATGTGACAGACCTTGGTTCCGTTTAACCTAGTTAGGTAGGGAACCCAGAAATAAAGTTTCTTTATAAATATAAAAAAAAAATTAAATCTAAACCCAAAGATTTGGGGGGGTGGGATTTTACGTTTGGGGGAGCAGAGTGAGTTTTTTATTTTGTGTTGTCTGTTTCTAATTTGGGAAGGGAAGAAAGGATGGAATGTTACTTCTGTGCCAGAGTCTTTAATTAGTCTGTTACATAAATTGAGCTTAAAGTCAGGTATGTTCTTGTGTACATCTTTGTCCAAATTTGTAATGCATTTAGGCTTCTAAAGACTGCTTTAAAAGGAATATGCACCAGCAGGTGGAGCAAATAGATAAAAAAGTTAAATGTTACAATTCTACAGCTAGAGTTACTATCAACAGCTTTTAAGACAAGTACAAAAATTGGGGGATGTCGTCTTAATTTTTGTAGAACATCACATGTCAACGAAAAATGAAAGCACTTTATCACTGTATCCTGCATTATATGAAGTCAGAGCAAACTTTGAAGTTACCTGTTTATAATTGCTATAACAGAAACCAAAGCTTAAAAGGGAAAAAAAAAACAACAATATTTGTACTCTGTTGACACTTGAAGTTCTCTCAGTCTTGAGTCTAAGGTGTCATAGATGCAATGTAAGTATAATTTGAAGACCTTATGGTAGAAGAAATACGAGCAATGTGCAGTTTGCCCAAATAAAAAACACCACAATACTAAACTCCAGTGTTACCACTGCCTCTTATTATTAACCTGTTCCTCCTTGCAGACTTCCTTTGATTTTTGCCCTGATAAATGCTCTGTTATAATTCATAGTGGAAGACGAGAACAACCTGCAGTAAAAGAGTACCTGAAATGGAGGAAGTAGAATTGTTAAAACAGCAGACCTCACACTTTCAGGAAATGCATCAGGACCTCATTCCTCTTAAGGTCACCTAACAAGGTGAACTCCTTTCTCTTGTGATAACATGACAGGGAATCTGTCTCCACCAGTTGGTTAAATCTGAGTTTGTAAGTACAAACAGACATTTATAATTGGTAAGTTCTTGTGTAGTATAACTGCAAGGTAAAACCTAAGGTGGAGCTTGTTATTCTAGAACTTGACATACTCTAATTTCTTTTATCTCTGGATTTTTTTGTTGTTTGTTTTTAATGCTTATTTTGGAGCTAGCTGGAGGCTCATTTTGTACCAGTAACTTGCTCATGGCTGCTCAACACTAGTTCAATGTAATTTTTTTTTTTTTTTATTTGGAATTACTGGATATGGCTTTGCCTGTCTCATACTAATTGTGGCTATGGTCCAGTAATGAGCTCTGTATGAATAGCTTGGCATGACTTAAGTCCATGCATATTCGGTATTTCACACTCTATAAATTTTCATAATAAAAAGAGCATTTTTATATGGCTGCTTTACGAGTACCTAAAACTGAGGTACACAATGGGTACTCCACACACTTAGTTTTAGTCTGCAAAGTTTTAAATAACTGTTCTCAAAAAGTCTATGGAAGTAGTATTTATGGAAGCAAATGGTGGCATAGGAACGAAGTCCCATGTCCTTCACATCCTTGCTTTTTTATATATGACAAGTTGTCGCAGATGAAAGTATTATGGTAATGATCTCGTAAAAAATCTAGATTTATTAATAACTAACAACTATTTCTCAATACAAAATAACTCAGAAAGAAAAATGACTTATTCAGGTTCTAAACTGACAATAGTCACTCTAACAGTACCTTAATTTATACACATATGTACATGTGCATACACAAAACAGACATATACATACAGAAACAAAGGTATTTGGATTCGGTAAAATGAACACAAAAGGGACAAACACACAGGAACAAGGGCAAGGGTATGTACACACACACACACACACACACACATACCAATAAACAGGTGAAATAGAAGCTAGCTCAAAGAAAATTTCCTTCTTGAGTTTAGAGCAAATACTCCCAGTGCCTTGGCATTCCTCAATGGGCGATAATTGAGACTCAATGGGGCGACTTCGCCCTGGCCTTCCGTCTGGAACAGACGACACCTGCAAGGCGTCCCAGCTCAAGGGAGATGCTGGTCACAGGCCTGCTGCGATCCAGGAGAGCTCAAAGGGTCTCTCTGGTGGTCGCAGTTTATAGGATCCAAGATAATTGACTTTTGTCAAATACTATCTGGTGCCTTCCAGCAGTTGCACAAGAATTTGAATAACATGCAACTCTGTTATTGTTCCATCTGATCACAACCCAGGCATAGGTGTGTCAGGCCATCAGGAGATGATGGACCATTACACCCCTTTCCAAGCAATTGAGAGGGGCAGGAGCCAGTCTCCTCAAGGTTATCAGTCCTTATCTCCACAGATCGGTGTATGGCTCGCGGGAATGTGGATGGAATCACACCTGGCACCGAGCAGCCCAATAAGGAAAGCAGGGAGGGGTAAGAATTGCACCACCACACAAGTAAACTGCTATTATTAGTTTGAAAACCATCTTCTAAATGTACCTGGAGAATAACTAAAGCTATTTATGTTTTTAGCGTTTAACCCAACCTGTTTGCATCTTATTAAACATTAATTTCAACACTTTTTTTTTTTTTTAATTGAAGTGAAAAAAATAGCGCTTGCTGTAACAAACGCTCCACAAAGATGATTCAGCCGTAACTTTCACCTCAGCGTTGTGGTGGAGTGCTGTGTGCAGGGCTGATACCGTGTTGTATCTTAATCATTCGTGCATCATTAAACACGGCCTTGCTGTGATCCGGGGCGCGCTCGCAGCCTCAAGTACTCGACCCCAGGCGCGGCGAGTGCCAGCCGCGCGTTTAACCGACGGGCCGGGGCGGGGCCTGCCTGCGGGTGGCAGTCCGTTTGGGACTGCCCCTCGCCGGGGAAGGGAGCAGCTTGGGGCTGGCCCTGAGGGGCGGCTCTCTTCTCTCCCTCTCGCCCCCCTCCCCAATATGGATGTGTCTCCCTGAGGGGAGGAGGAAGGGGAGCGTAGACGGGTTGTGTGTGAGGAGTAATCCCAGGGCTGGGGATGAGGGGATTCCCGGGGCAGTGTGTAAATGCCTTTACCTCTTTCAAACCATTGTAACTTTAGCGCGGAGTGTAGTTAGAAGGCGGCATTCCTGAGGCAGTGCTGGGAGACTAGTGTGGTGAGCTGATGGCTTCCCGTATCGCGCTGTGATGCATATCTAAGTAGGGTGAGTTTGGGTGGAGGTTCCTCGTGTAACAGTGAGAGACTTGGGGTCGCTATGGATTTGTGTTTAGAATCATCTGACCTTTAGTTTCTCAGCCTGAGTAGAGGGGGTGTGTGTGAAATACCTGGGCTAGAATGGCCCCATCTGCCATTCATCTGGGTGGTTTATCTGATACTGAGGCGGTTCCAAAGACCTTGTTATCTGCATTCTCCTGATCATCCTGTAGCCTCGGTAAGTTTCAGAGGTGACTTCTCTTGTCTCTGGTAATAAGGAAAGGATGAGAAATACTGCAAAAAAAAGGGTTGATTTCCATGCCTTTTATCCATTTGTCTCGTAGCTGCAATTAATTTTTTCGTGCTGTTGAGGGATGGAAATGAGAATTTTTTTTCTTTTTTTTTCCCTGAGATCACGTATCACGGTAGATGTTTAGCGATTCTGGGGTATCAAGGGGGTGAATATGGGTGGGGATGTTGTCTGAGGTTGACATAATTCCCAGAGTCCTCTTTGTTTGGTTCTAAAGTTGGTTCTGTTTGTGGTTTCTGCTCCTACTCCTAAGCACAGTGAGGTTTTCTTTTAAAAGAGAAGCTCCCCACTTTGTCAGCGCATCCTGTGAATATAGTTTTAAATCAGCCTCTTTTATTCAGGTGGTATCTCCTTCCTCTTTAACCTGTTAAGAAGAAAAAAAAAATTATTCTGCCTTTAAATGTTTTATGTAAAAGTTAACAGAAAATATTATGTTGAATTCTATCTGGAATAACAAGACAAAACTGAAGCAAATCTTGAAGTGTGAGATCCATATAGTATCTATAATACAGTTAAAACGGACACTTAAGCTTAAAATTCTGTTATTGCTAATATAAAAATAAATATTTTCTCGTGAAAGATTTCTCACTTATAATGAGCTGTACATTAAATATAAATACAAAATAGCTTCATAGCAACCAATAGTATCTGAGTGAAAGCTCCAGTGTAAGACCTTAGGTTTAGAAGAAACAGTCAAAACTGGTTTGGTGGTATTTTTTTGGGTGGTTTTTGTTTTTTAAACTAGGCTGTACATAGTAGTGTACAGTTGTTGTGATGGGCTGTTTAGCAGACTGTTGTTCAGAATTCCATTCAACTCTGTTACTACTACTTTTGTTTTTTATTAATACCAATGGATTTGTTGCTGTAATATGAAGATAGAGTTTGGGGGATAGTGGAAGTGATAGCAGACAGAATGAATCCAGTATT